TATATATATATATATATATATATATGAATGCACGGCTTGTGAAGTATCGGCAAGCGTGTTGTCATCATTGTCATCGTTTAGGGTGCACCAGGTTTCGAGATTAAGAGTACATCGCGTCTGTACGTTGATCTCTGTACGAAGATTTATGCAGAATCGTTCAAAAGCCGATATTCATAGAGTCGATTCTTATTTGAATACCATCTTAATCTCAAGTAATACCATCTTAACTCTCTTTCTGATTGGTTCGTGACATCTTAAGATTGTATTTGAGACAGTCTTATATATAAAAACTCACTCTGGATATGGACAGTCTATCGCGTCGCCGAAAAAAAAGAAGAAAAAGATTTACGAGAGATCGTCGCTTTCGGCAGCATCCGAGAATACGTAATAACGTGTCTACAGGAATACTACGAGAGAAATAATTCGGGGAAACAAACATGTCTCCAACATCGATTTCATAATAGGAGCATTCTTATGATAACTATCGAGTGCCTGAAACATACTCGATTTGGTCCTCTGCACTCGCCCGCGTTTCCAAGCCACAATAACACGAAAGCCACATGAAAGCGTATAGAAAGCTCGATAAGAATTTGCATAGCGGGATCGGTAGCAGTGCTTGGAAAAGCGAGGATATGGGTAAAAAATGAAGCGTAACGTGATCGAAAGCAATAACGCCAACAATTAAGCCCAGAAAAAGAGCTCATTACGAAGCACGCATCCATTCCTTCCTTCTGCATTTGCTTATGTCAATTTTTACTATAGATTAATTTGAATCTCGGCTTAACTTACTCTTTATCTTTTTCTAATTTCTAAAACTTAAAACTTTAAAAAAAAAGATGAAACATTAATTAAACCGAGATTTAAATTATGCTGGTAGAAACGAGTATATAATTCTTAGAATTAGAAAAAAATAAAAAGTAAGTTGAACCGAGATTAAAGTCAATCTACAATGGTAGAAAAGAATATTTGTCAGGAAATATATGGAAATGATAAACATAACGCGGATTCGTCAATAGAAATAGAAAAAATATAAGATAGTAATATAGTTGTAAAAAAAAGCAGTTAATGGTGCATAGATTATTCGTAGATAAAAGAGTGTTTAATTTAAAGCTTCATAAATATACTCTGATTCCTTGGAAAGGCGAATGTTTTCGATTTAATTTTGATTTTCATCTTTTTAAAATCCCATGTCATAAATGAGTTTTTTGACGGCTATTATTTACTTAAAATATCCATTGCGTTCAAAACACGAAATTTTATCGTACATTCTATATTTTACGATAGACATTAAAACCATTTTATGTGTAATTACTGTAAAATATTATGTCGCAACATTTATATCAATGCTATTAAATCATATTTAAAAAGCAATATATTACAAGATCATTTTATTCAGATAACATAATATATTGTGTAAAAATCCCTAACGACGATCTGAACCTAAACGAGAGCCGTGACTCGAATCCCGCTGAAAAAATACACACGATCGATCGAACTTCCGTTCCTCATTGTACTGCAGTGCTTCTAAACAGCGTCTGTGTCTTTTGTTCGAACCGGTGCGGATCGGAAGTGAGTACCTGCGTGAGCACACCGCGTTCGAGCGCACGCACGCACGCACGCATTATTTTTACCGGATAGGTCGACCGGATAAGTGTCTACTTAAAAAGAAAACAAAAAAAAAAAAGAGGTCTCGATAGTGCGCTACCGCCGACGTATCGACGACGCAGGTGGAATAAGAATTGTCGCGGATGAAAAAGGGTCAAACGAAAACGAAAAGGGCCCTCGGCGGCCAACACAGAGAACCGCGCTCGAAAGAACGGAACGGAAGAAGAAACGGAGGAAAGTGAAAGCCCATCCGCACGCCGCGACCCAGAAACTTTCAAAGTGTAAAATCGACGGCGCAACGCCGTGTTTGGCAGTCGCCATACTACGTACGAGCACGTCCGCGTTCGCGAGCTAGGGATGCCCTCC